TTTGCCATTGTTTGGTCATTGCATTTGCATTCATCGTGATGAGTTGAGCTTAGAAGGAGTTTTGACATATCATGAATTTTTTTACCACATGGTGTGCCGCTGTCGTCACTCAGTACACAATGATGTCACTTTTTAGGACCCCTTCTCCATGTTTTCAATTGGCTGAGATTGCATTGAAACTGTGGGACATGTGATACCTCCTATATAATTGTTCTTTTAAGAAGGGAGGCCATGGTCCGGACTTAAGCTCTGTGCATTTGGTTGGGTACATCGCAAGTACTGGTGAGCTGGGACAATTCATTTAGAAGGATTGGTTTCTATTGAACTATGTGTGTTAATTTATAGCTCCAATCAGCAGTATAAGGTTGGACATTGATATAAGGGAGGTATACTGTATTTTTGCATACAAAATATGAAATGAGGTTATGTCATTGAATTGAGAATGAATTTGAGATACTATGTTGTGTGTGGTTTTCTTGTGTATGTTAAGATTCCAGTAGTTACCGAAACATTATATATCATTCCTTTATATTAATATTTTTCAGGTAAGAGATCAAATAGTAATCAAGGAAAGGCACCATAGGGGTGAGCATTGAAAGCTTTACCTTACCCCTCAAGCACTAGTTATTGTTATATTTAGTTGCCATGACTCTAGAACCTTATTGTTATATTTGTTATTAAAAATATACATCTTTTAATTTAAATTGATACTCTGGGTTATTTTGGATACTTATTTTTTGGTTAAGTTGGGCTAATGCTTTTGGGTCGATGTCTCTAAGCCCTCATGAGTTTTGGCTGATTGATTGATAAGTTTACAGGTTGTTGAACGAGGTGTCACATACGAAGCATCAAGCCACTTGTATGATGAAACGTTTAGATATTTTCTCTCAAGCTTCAGGGGAGAAAGTAATGGAAGTAAATCCTCCATCTTTTTCTCGCCAAGGTTTAATATGAGAATGAAAAACAAGGTGAAAGAAATTACTCAAATGAAAATAACACAGGGGATTGGTCGATATCTCAGGTTTCCTCCCACGAGAAAAAGAAAATCCACTAAAGATTTCCATTTCATTATTGACAGAGTGAGATTAAAATTTTGGCAGCTTGGAAAATTCAAAATCTATCAACAGCTGGTCCGATTACTTTATCAAAATTGGTGATTAGTTCCATTCCTTTTCATCCTATGTTTGTTGCTCAAATTCCTAAGAAAATCTGTCTAGATGTTGAAAGACTTCAATGAAAATTCATTTGGGGTCAAAGACAAGATCAGCAGGTTTACCGTCGTATTGGCCGGAGTCAATTGACGCTGCCAAAGACTTGTGGTGGGCTTGGTTTTAAAAGATTAGCCATAGTTAATAGAGCGTGTGGAGCAAAGTTGGCTTGGAACCTGGTTAGAGGTGGCTCAGGTTTGTGGATGGAAGTTTTGAATGATAAATATATGTTGCAAAACGAAGAAAATTTGCTTTGTTTAAGAAAAGGGGATTCTAAGCCTTGGAAGTTTATTTATCCGCAAAAAGAGATAATTGATGAAGGAACCAAGTGGCAATTGTTGAATGGAAAGCTAATTAATTTCTTTCATGATAATTGGCGTTTTCCAAATTTGAAGATTAAAGACGTGTGCGCGAAGGCTTACTGCTGAGGAGAATGAAAGCTTTTTCACTTATTGGTGTTCAAATAGAGGATAGAATTTCCAAAGACTTGAGAAGGTAGTCTCTACTGAAGTGATTCAACGTCTGACTAGCATTTTACCTCCTTTAGAAAATGCTGGAAAAGATGTGATGATCTGAAATGCTACTTGTGACGGTCAATTTAGTATTAAAAGTACTTATTTTTAATAGAGCAGAATTCCCCGTACAGTATAATTCGATTTTCAAACAGATTTGGAAAGGAGAGGGGCAGAGAGAACTCAAGTGTTTTTATGGAGGGCCTTTAATGACAGGCTTTCTGCAAATGCTTGGCGAAGTAGCTGGTCAAAGGTCTCACAACTATGCACACGTCGCAATGCTGATGCTGAGAGTCTTTTACATATTTTGAGAGATTGTAGCTAGGCCAAATCCTTGTGGCTGAGTCTCTTAAATCCAAGGCATGTTGGCTTTTTCTTTAATTATTCCTTGAAACACTGGATCTCCACTAATCTGTTGCTTGGTATGGGACAATGTGAAATTGGGAATCGGGGCAGATTATGGGGAGTTATTGTGTGGAAACTTTGGCAATGGCGAAATGAAGAAGTCTTTAATGATATAGCTTTGCAAAACCAGGTGACCCAGTTTCTTTAATTTAAATACCTGGAAAAGCTTTGTCATGCAGCAGGAATGTGATCAGATTGGGCTAAAGAGCAGTAAGTCTCATTGGTTTGGATGGAGCCCACCACCTGTTGGATGGGTTAAAATAAATGTTGATGGTGCTATGGCAAAATATACTCAGGAAGCTGGTTGTGGAGGGATTATTAGAAATCACAGTGGCCGCTGGATTGTTGGGTTCACTTACACGATTGGCAAATTTAGTGCTCAGGAGGCTGAATTATGGGCTATTTATAAGGATCTGGATATCGCTTGGCAGTTTGGCTCTAGACAGATTCTGTTGAATCCGATGCCAAGACTATAATTGATCTTTTGCTGAAAGAGGAAGCAAGCAGTGCTGGGAATTTACTAATCGTGCAAATTCAGAATATGCTTAAGTTCAATTGGGAAGTGAAGCTCCAGAATGCGCCTCGAGAAGAGAACAGAGTCGCTGATGCTTTGGCCAAAAAGGGGATCTTACACTCCTCAATGTTTGATGTTTGCCCAACTGATCTACGGGCACTTGTGGATGCAGAGAAGATGGGATCTAGGCCCCACCTAGTTTAGACTTTACTTTTGGAGTTGGCCCTCTTGGTTACCATAAAATAAAAAATGAGTCAAGGAAGTTAAATGGAAGAAAAAGGGGTGTTTTAGTAATGAGTCTCACATAAAATAAAATAATATATTCATCACCCTTTTAATCACGCCTTATCCCATCCATTTCCCCTCAATCATGTTTCGGCCAGCAGAACAAAAAGGAGAGAAAAAGGAGCAACCTGAGAGGGAGAGGATCGGAGAAGAGGAAGAAAGTGTCTTCACTTACACGCAAGGCCACTTCTAGGCTAAGGAAAGTTCCTAGAGCGCTAATCCACCTCTACTTTCTCTATACAATTGGTACTTTAAAGTTCATGATGGCTGAAAGCTGGGGGTTAGTGAGAGAAAGTTAAAGAACCAGAGAAATAACCATAGTCAAGCATAGATTGATGAATCTTATACAGATAATATGTAAGTCGTATTATGTGTCTCGTGGCTTGCATTTTGAGTTTTGTTGGGGTAAAAGATGATTTCCCAACCTGAAAAGATTTCTAGATTACAACCTTAAGTTATACATACAACCCATAGGCAAAGATAGGGGTTGTGTATATGATTATAAATGTGTCAAATGGTAGCGTGGTTATTGAATGAATTTTTAGTGCTGCGTTCTGTTAAACATTTCCTTAATGTTAAATGATTGTCTTAAGTTCTGAATAAATACTATAGAGAGCTAACTTGTTTTCAACCAAAAAAGGCGCCCCCCGCCCCTGGGGGGTAGCTTGGGCTTATATATAGACCCCCAAAAGCATGACTTGAATTAGCATTAAAGCTAGAAAATTTCCAGATCAAAAAGCATTGTTGTTCAAGAGTTTTGAAGTGGCCATAGCATTCATATCTTAAGGTGAGGAATACCTCCACTAATCTCTCTCTCCACTTCCTCTCCTCTTAATCTTTTCATCATTAGATCAAATTTTAACGATTGAGATTTATTTTATAAGAATATTATTAAAATATTAAATAATAAATAATAAATAATAAAAAGTCAGTAAATAAATTTATATTGTTAAAATTTGATATAAGTAGTTTAAAAGGGTAATTTTTTAATTATATTTAATATTATAATAATAGTTTTACTCAATTTTAAATCTCAACCATTAAAAGTTAATCTAATAATATGAAGAGATTAAGTGGAGAAAGAATTAGTGAAAACATTCTCCTTCTCATATCGTTAATAGATATGCACCACAAGGTGACCTTAGATTGACGTTGAGGACAGAAGGTAGTAGCATGATTTAAGTATAGCTGATTCGCTTTGACGTAGTTAGCTGGAATCAACTTAGCTACTCAGAGCCACCAATTTTATAATGATTGTTCACAGGTAAAATAAGCGAAGTGGGCCTTGAATTTTGGTAAAGCTCTATGGTGCACGTATTAAACGTTCCATTGAGTCCTAGATCATTGTTTTTTGTGGATTAAAAATTAGTATTTTTCTAAAATGACCCAGAAATATGAACGTGTGTGGCAAAAATATTCTTTACAGTTTTTGAAAATGTGTGTATCTGTGGGTTAGCGATGAACTCGGTACTCTCTCTCTCTCTCTCTCTCTCTCTCTGTTTTTTCCGGCCTTCAAAGAGACTTACAAGAGCTAGGCAGAAATATATCTTTGAACCGCTATTTTTGGAATTAATTTGATTTAGTCATGAATTCTCTAAAATTCGGAAAAAAAAAATCATCATTTCATGATAACCAAGCTTTTCGAAAAGTGTTAAATATTTGGTTTTACAACTAAATCAGTCACAAGTGGAAGGATTTGGGATGTCAATTGCCCTATCTTTGCTGCCCCTGAAAATTTTTCTACTCTCCAATTTTTTTTTTTTAATCATTAGATTCTACACAAAATGAATGAAATTTTGATATCTCATAAGTTAAAAATAGTGTTGTTTTCAATTTTTTATGAATTTTCAAATAATCCGCGCAAATGTTTCTTAAATGGTTAAGAAAATTCTAGTTAGTGACCTAGAGTAAGGTATGGCATAAATTTTCTAGAAATACTGCAAGTAATTTAAAAGCTTAATTTCAGAGTATTTTAAATTCAAATTAAAATAAATGCCGGACGACCCTATTAATTTATTTGAGGAAAGGGAGAAGTCTTCGTGAACGTTAACCCATAATCTACCCATCTCTTTTTGTTATCAGCAACAAAAGTCTCTCACTTCTCTCACCGTTTCTTCAACTAAACAAAAGAAGCAACATTGCACCAGCCAAATTTCTGGGTTAGAATATAGATTTTCCCGTTTATGTTCCACAGAATATAACCTGTTTGAAGTTTAGGATTTTATTATTATTACTAATCACACCCTTGTTTATTTCAGGGTCAAGCTCAAATCCAAGCAGATTCATGGCAGCATCAGTCTCTGTTTCTGAATCTTTGAGGTCAGTTCTGAATGATTCCTCAAGTGACTTAGGAAAAGAAGAATATAGCGTAACTCACTTAGCAGAAGATGATTCTGGTCAGAACTTTCATCAGATACCCACTGATCAGATCTACAAGGAAACGAAGCTTTCTAGGCTCAACTTTCTGAGGAACTACAAAGTCAAGTCAGTAGAGAAAGAATTTACTTTTGGAAACGAACAGCACGATATATATTTGCTAACCAGAGATGATATTAGAAAGCACAAGAAAAAGTATGACTTTCTGCATATCGGACTTGTGCAAGTTTATTTTGTACCATATCATATCCCTGGTATTGATCACAGAATCTTAGTATGCTTGCGAGATGCGAAATATCCAAACTTGAAAGACTCGGTCTTAGCAGCGTTAGAGATCAGTTTGCATAATGGTAGAACAAAGTTCAATTGGTTCCCAAATTTCTCGTCATCTTTATCTGAACTATCAAACTCCAACGGCTTGATGATAACTGCGGAGCCACATGGTCTTTCGGTTATAGAAGGTTCTTGTATGTTTGGGATTACCTGCAGAATTTGTTATAAACTGATGAAGGGGTCTCTTGAACCCAGATCACAGTTTGAAAATCCTTTGTTGGAGGTGAAAACTGATAAGATAAAAGTTCTTGCGCCAAGAACCATAAAAGGGAACTGAAGCGAATGGGTTCAGTGAAAAGTCTCATTCCTGGCAAGTACAAGCTAGTAGTTTAAGTTTATCCTTCTCTGTAATCGTTTGCAAACTTTTGATGAAGAATGTATAAATGAAGTTCATCTGGTAGTACATCTAGTTTTGGGTTTAGTGTTTGGTTTTAGCTATGTTTTATTGTGTCTCTGATTTGTAAATCCTACTTTGCATGTATTTATTACTAAGTTTCACCTGCAAGCCAGAAGATGGAATTATTATTTGTATTTGGAGTTCTTTTGATGGAAAACAAAGTGGATGAAAAGTCGTTGTCCCCCATCCTGTATATGGCTTTAACTTTACACGCACACTGTCTCGGAAGCTTCCCATCAAACCAAGAAGCTAAGGCCATGTGAAAATAAGCAAATCGAATTTGTTTATTAATACATATCCTTTAAAAGAGTGACACAGAGTTATGTAAAATTGAATTCAGCACCTATGAATATTTTTCTCTAATTTTATTTGGGAGACTGTTAAGGAGTGCGTATGCGCAAGAGTTCAATTTAATTTAGAATTATATTTTTACTTTTTAAATGTTTTCTTGGCAAAATTTTACACCAACAATTTGTCACTACTAAAAAATCAATTTTGGTTGCAATTGTTTAATATTATTCCCAGGGTTATCAATACCCAGGCCCAAAAGATTGGCTTTTGACAAGCTCAAGCCTAGGAAGGGCAAGCTTGAAAAGCCCATCTACCTTAAAAATTTAATATTTTTTAAGTTTGCTCCTCAAACATGTCAGTTTTAGGCTTTTTTTTGGGGCTAAATTTATGTTTTTTATTTATTTTGAAATATTAAAAAGTAAAAGAATAAATCTCAAGAAATTTATAATTCATATCATAAACATTAGAAAAAAATGAAGTTCCAAATTATTGTTCAAACTTGCAAAACTAAACCAAATGAAATAACCGCTAAGTTAATGAAACCTAGCAGTTGTGCATAGCCAACGCAAAAGCCAAAGAATCTTGACGCATCATTGCAACTATGAAAAACCGACAGCCATAATGATACGTCTTGTCCTGCTTTTTTGTTTCCTTCAATTGACCCTTCCTTGTTTTCTCTGAATTACCTCAAACTATTACTCCTCTTATCTTATATCCAGAACAGGAAAAGAAAGTTTTTTTTTTATCTTATCTATAAATTATTTTATTAAATTTTTAATGTGAATGTACTATTTTGTCTCTTATTTATTATAATGTAGGTAATTATCTTTTTTAAAAGATGTATATATTAAATATAGATAAAGTTAAAAATTTGTCATATTTTAATAAAAAAGCTAATACATTTTAAGTTTCTTTTATTTTGTATAAAATATACTAAAAATACTTTATAAACAGTACCAGAAGAATATGTTTCAATTCGTTTATGATTGCTGGTCAAAAAAAAAAAAAAAATCGTTCATGATTTTTTTTTTTTTTTGACCAGCCAATGCGTTCATGATTTCTTCTTATCATCCCAACGGTGAAAAATAAGGCCACATTCGCCAAAGCTTGTACAATGAATACGAGTGACAAATGAAATAAATAATACTTGCCATATAAGAACATGTTTTCAAAGTCTGTTGATATGAGAGGATAACAAGGCATGAGAATAGGGGCAAAAAAGTAAAGAAACGTCAAAAAGGTAACTGCCATGTAAAGAAGATAAAATAAAACTATTATTAGTCCATAACTTTTTTTTTTAATTTCAAAACTAATCTCTATAATTTAAGTTACATATATGGTTATTAAGTCTATGAATATGATTTATAGTTTACAAAATTTAATTCTAACATAACACTAATAGAAAAAGCACCTTCTAGATCGTCCTATCTAGACCGTTCATTGTGGGACAGTTTAAAAAACGTAACTGGCGGCATTTTTATAAACATCGATGTATATTTTTGTCCGATTCCTTATAAACGAGTCCTATTAGCAAGTTGTTACCGTGGTAGTGCAACTTATAAAACAAATTGAAGAGATATATAAACATAGAAATATAGATGCATAATTTATGAACTGAATAATTAATGGACTCGCAAGGCGCAACCCATGTCATTAAAATAACATGCTCTTGTAATAAAAAATCCTACCAATATGTCAAAACTCTAAAACATAATGTCAAATTGTTCCATATTAGTATATATTTATTTAAGCATCATAAAGAAATTTAAAAAAACATGAAGTATTTACAGCACAGAAAATGAAAACAGAGTAATTAACTCATCTGCTCAATGCACCTTACTCCAAAAAAGTAAAAAATTACTTGAACGAGGTCACATTAAATGAAAAAAAAAAAAGGATTTCGTTTTTTTGAAAAATAAGCGGAACTGACAATATGAAGAAACACCAAAACTCAAGCGTTTCACCGAAAACAAAAGAAATTTTTTTCCCCACAAATTCCTGAATAGTCCACCTCCAAGAATGGGATGAATAATTTGCAAGGAATTAAAACATTATAAGATATGACACGTGCCTTAAAATGTGTGTGTGTGTGTGTTGATTTTTATAAGGTAGGTAGCTTCAGAGGAGCTATAGAATAACTCTAAAATATTTTTTTAATATATGTTAAAAATATTTATATATAAAATTTTGTGGACTCTTGATTTGGAGCAACTTTTTTTATTATTTGTAAATCAAAAAGTAACAGGTGGTTCTGAAAATTCTTCTATATAGATACAAGCTGTATGTGAATCGTGATGTTGTTGGCTATTTTGTTAATTTTAATTATGCAAAGATTGAATGAAGATTTAAATAATTAATTAAAACAATAATTATTAATGTTAATATCAAGTAAACTTCTTGATGGATATATTAATTAGATGATAATAATATTATGATAATTTGCGCTACTAATAATGAATTTCTATGCATGTATATGTGAGTTGGAGTAAAACTGTGTATAATGGACATTATTTAAATCTTAGTTCAATCCTTTTAGACTCATTGCTATGCATTGTGTCAAGCATTGAATAACTTATTCCTTTTCAAGCATGCTTGTGCATGTAATGATGTATGATTTGAATGGGAACTATTTTATATCGTTATGATATAAAATGATGTTGTATTTACTTATGTTTTGCCATTGTTTGGTCATTGCATTTGCATTCATGGTGATGAGTTGAGCTTAGAAGGAGTTTTGATATATCATGAATTTTTTTACCATATGGTATGCCGCCGCCGCCACTCGGTGCGAGTGATGTCACTTTTTAGGGCCCCTTCTCCCTGTTTTCATTTAGCTAGGATTGTATTAGAGTTGTGGAACATATGACACATCCTTAGTGTTGTTCTTTTAAGAAGGGAAGCCATGGTTTCGACCTAAGTTTTGCACCTTTGGCTGCGTACATCACAAGTACTGGTGAGCTGGGGATAATCCAGTTACATCGACTGGTTCTTGTTGAACTATGCGTGTTAATTTATAGCTCCAATCAGCAGTATGAGGTTGGACATTGATATAAGGGAAATATACTGCATTTTCGCATACAAAATATGAAATGAGGTTATGTTGTTGAATTGAGAATGAATTTGAGATAAATGTAATGTCTATAAGAGAGATTTATATCTGGCCAAAAAAAAAACAGAGAGATTTATATCTGGCCAAAAAAAAACAGAGAGATTTATATAAAGATTATACATGATATTGGTTCTATACTATGTTGTGTGTGGTTTTCTTATGTATGTCAAGATTCCTGTAGTTACTGAAACATTATATACCATTCTTTCATATTAACATTTTTCAGATAAGAGATCAAATAGTAATCAAGGAAAGGCACCATAGGGGTGAGCATTGAAAGCTCTACCGTACCCCTCAAGCACTAGTTATTATATTGTTATATTTAGTTGCCATGGCTTTAGTACCTTCTTGTTATATTTGTTATTAAAGATTTTTTTTTTTAATTTAAGTTCATACTCTGGATTATTTTGGATACGTATTGTTTGGTTAAGTTGGGCTAATGCTTTTGGGTCAAAGTCCCTAAGCCCTCATGAGTTTCGGCTGATTGAATGACAAGTCTACAGGTTGTTGAATGGGGTGTCCCATACGGAGGATCAAGCTACTTGTATGATGAAATGGTTAGATATTTTCTCTCAAGCTTCAGGGGAGAAAGTAATAGAAGTAAATCCTCCATCTTTTCTCGCCAAGGTTTAGTATGAGAATGAAAAACAAGGTGAAAGAAATTACTCAAATGAAAATAACACAGGAGATTGGTAGATATCTCAGGTGTCCTCCCACGAGAAAAAGAAAAGCCACTAAAGATTTCCATTACATTATTGACAGAGCGAGATTAAAATTTTGGCAGCTTGGAAAATTCAAAATCTATCAACAGCTGGTCGGATTACTTTATCAAAATCGGTGATTAGTTCCATTCCTTTTCATCCTATGTTTGTTGCTCAAATTCCTAAGAAAATCTGTCTAGATGTTGAAAGACTTCAATGAAAATTCATTTCGGGTCAAAGACAAGGTGAGCAGGTTTACCGTCATATTGGCTGGAGTCAATTGACGCCGCCAAAGTCTTGTGGTAGGCTTCGTTTTAAAAGATTAGCCTTAGTTAATTGAGCGTGTGGAGCAAAGTTGGCTTGGAACCTGGTTAGAGCTGGTTCAGGTTTGTGGATGGAAGTTTTGAATGATAAATATATGTTGCAAAACGAAGAAAATTTGCTTTGTTTAAGAAAAGGGGATTCTAAGCTTTGGATGATTATTTATCCGCAAAAGGAGATAATTGATGGAGGAACCAAGTGGCAATTGTTGAATGGAAAGCTAATTAATTTCTTTCATGATAATTGGCGTTTTCCAAATTTGAAGATTAAAGACGTGTGCGCGAAGGCTTACTGCTGAGGAGAATGAAAGCTTTTTCACTTATTGATGTTCAAATAGAGGATAGAATTTCCAAAGACTTGAGAAGGTAGTCTCTACTGAAGTGATTCAACGTCTGACTAGCATTTTACCTCCTTTAGAAAATGCTGGAAAGATGTGCTGATCTGAAACGCTACTTGTGACGGTCAATTTAGTATTAAAAATACTCCTCCGTCCTAATTATAAGACCCAATTGACTTATTTGAGGAGATTAAGGAAGTAAGTTAATTGGTTATTTATAATAAATAAGTGTTGTTATTCCTAAAACATCCTTGCTAATTAAGTATATTAGCTAAAACTATCATTATTAGAAGGATTATCTTGGGAAAATGCATAAATATAAAAGAGAAAATGGATTGGGTCTTAAATTAGGACCAAATGAAAAGTCAA